GATATCTCAGCAACCACCATGTCAAATTCGATAAACATTTTTTTGTTTCAATTCTATGAATCCATTGATTTCAAAAAAAAAAGAAAAAAAGTTCATCAAATTTGGCCTAGTGGTTGCTGAGATACCTTTGCTCAAAGTTTAAAAAAAATTTTAATCTGCAGGGGGGTATGAATAATAAATCTGGGGTATAAAAAATAATAATCATCAATTTAGATATTTTGTATTAGTGAATATTGGCCCGAATTAAGTTTAATTTAGGCCAAAGTTAAATTTTTTTTTTTTTTTTTTGTCCAATAAAAAAATTTACTATGTCCAATCAAATTATTTAGACAAAATGGACATTGTCCAAATGACAATTGTCCAATAACGTAACATGCCATCCCTGACTAAAAGAATCAAAGTCTATTCAAAGTTCTAAATAAAGAGGCTTTTAACGGTATTAAATATAAAACTAAACTTAAAAACAGACATGTAAAGCAAATAAACCAAATAAAATAAGTAGAAGAGAACCCAAAATTTATAACTATTAATAAAGGAAAAAATATAGTTTGGTACTAGTAGAAATAATTTGATCAAAAATTTACAAATCAGTTTAAAATATAATTGGCAGGAAGTTTTTCATTAGCGTTGCACAGTTTATATCGAATTCAAGTGTAACATCTCAAATCACTTTACATAATTCTTGAACATTGGCTGCACGATGCCCATCATTCAGATCTGTTAGATGTGCATTCGAATTTCGTAAAAAGATAGATAGATCTGTTGCTTGCTACTAAATAAAATGGACCAAGAACAAGTCACGCAAGTTCATTCTCTATATGATACCATTTTAATTATCGATTTTGGTTCACAATATTCTCATTTGATTGCTCGTCGAGTACGCGAATTTGGCATTTATTGTGAAATGTTACCTTGCACTCAAAAGATTAATGAGTTAAATTTTAATCCAAAAGGTTAAAAATATTTAATAAATTTTTCAAAATAATAATATGGATGTAATTAGCAAATCAAGATTAAATTTAGCGAATTTGCTCTTTTTGATGAAATAGGAATAATTCTTTCAGGGAGTCCATATTCTGTGTATGATAAAGATGCACCACACGTTGACCCAATGGTCTTTAATCTTGGAGTACCAGTACTAGGCATTTGTTACGGGCTTCAAGTAATTAAAATTAATGTTAAAAAGCATTCACACGTTGCAACTAATCAAATTGAACCATAAATATAAATATATATTATATTCAATTTTTAGGAAATTTCGTGGAATTTTGGTGGTTCAGTTGCACCTTGTGATCACAGAGAATACGGTCATGCGATGTTAAATATCATCAAGCATCAAGGTCATCCATTTACCAATAAGTTGTTCGATGGTCTTGAAGGTGATATTCAGGTGGGGTCATGTATGTAATCGTTGCGAGCAAATAATTCTCAATGTTATTGATATTTAAAATTGTTGACAGGTTTGGATGAGCCACGGGGATCAACTTGATAGAGCACCCGATGGTTTTAAGGTCATTGGTTACACCCAAACTTCTCCATTTGCTGCTATCATTCACGAAGAAAAATACTTGTTTGGAATACAATTTCATCCAGAAGTTACTCATACACCTCGTGGAAAAGATATCTTAAAAAATTTTGTTACTAGTATTTGTGAATGTCAGGCAAATTGGACGATGGTCTGTTTTACTATGAGCTATACCCGAATTATACTACATATTAGTAAAATCAAAACCCCATATTATGTTTGAATAGGAATCATTCATTGATAAAGAAATTGAGAGGATTCGTCAAATAGTTGGACCAAATGGGCAGGTTGTCGGTGCAGTTAGTGGTGGTGTAGATAGTACTGTGGCGGCTAAGCTGATGAAAGAGGCCATAGGAGATAGGTATGTGTTGATTTGATTTCACACCAATCAAATAAAAAGTATATCTATATATATAACCATCGTTATTGTTAGATTTCATGCAGTACTTGTTAATAATGGTGTAATGAGACTTAATGAATGTCAAACTGTCAAGAAAATGCTTGGTGATCATCTTGGTATTAATCTCAAAGTTGTAGATGCTTCTGATAAATTCTTAGATCGTCTCAAGGGAGTGACAGATCCAGAAAAAAAACGAAAGATAATCGGCAATACGTTTATTGAAGTATTTGAGTCTGAGGCTGCAAAAATTGATCTAGAGACTAAGGAAAGTGGACATGGAAATATCGAGTACCTTCTTCAAGGCACACTTTATCCAGATGTTATAGAAAGCATTTCATTTAAAGGTCCAAGCGCTACGATTAAGACTCATCATGTATTTATTTTTAAAATTATATGCATACTATTATTTCTTCAAGATTATGTTTCTAATGATTCCTCGACTAATAGAATGTAGGTGGATTAACAAAAGATATGAAATTAAAGCTTATAGAACCTCTAAGAGAGTTATTCAAAGGTTTTTCCTAGTTCTTTTTTGTTAAGTCTCAGCATGCAACGCAACCATTCTTTAAAATAAATATTTTCTAGACGAAGTTCGTGAGCTTGGTAAAACCTTAAATATAGATGAAGATTTAATCTGGCGTCATCCTTTTCCTGGACCGGGAATTGCAATTCGTATATTAGGAGAAGTAACGCCAAGCCAGGTTGCCATTGTTCGTGCAGCTGATCATATATACATCGAAGAAATAAAAAAAGCGAGGCTCTATCGGAAGATTTCACAAGCTTATGCTGCCTTGTTACCAGTAAAGGCAGTGGGGGTGATGGGTGATAAAAGGACATACGAACAGGTTATTGCATTGAGAGCTGTAGAGACGACTGATTTCATGACAGCAGATTGGTAACTATTTTCTGGATATATTTCCTCTTAAATTTTAAGATAAAAATTAATTACTTCTGATTATTAACGTAAATAGGTACCCTTTTCCTTATGATGTTCTGAAACGTATTAGCAATAGGATTATAAATGAAGTAAAAGGTATGTATTAACTTGGAGTTGTAAATTGCTTATTAAGTATCATTAACAAATTCTTTAAACATAAATAATAACAGGGGTCAACAGAGTTGTTTATGATGTTTCAAGTAAACCACCAGCTACAATAGAATGGTAATTATGAAAAATTATGATACCGAACAGCAAAAATATTATATTAACATTTTCATACATTTGATCGATTTAGGGAATAAAAACGTGAACGTAATAAAGGCTTGCATGAGGTTGTGGTTAACGCCTTGTATTAAATGATCAAAATAAATGGCCTAAACTATGTTTAGTCTAACCATAATCCTATGGTCCTATTGTTAACAAACCTATTGAAGATCGTATATTAAAATCGGTATCAACATTTTTTACATAACCTACAACTTTTCCAAAATTCATATAGTAAAAGAAATAGCCTTTATTTTCAACGATAGTGATTTAAATTTTGCTTGAATCTAATAAAAATGCGTTTTAGTTTAATAATATAAAAAGTTTTTTAATTTATAAAAAAGCCGATTATGTAAAATAATAACTATTTTTGCGTAGATATTAAAAATTTTAATATGTATATTAAATACGTAAAAATATTCTCTCTATATTTGCGCTCTATATATAATTTTTAACAAGAATAAATAAATTTTTTACAAACAGTGAAGTTTGTTGTAAAACCTTAGTGATTGAAAGCTTAATATATATACAGTATCTTTCAATCGCTAAGGTTTTACAAAAACTTCACTGTTTGCAAAAAATTTATTTATTCTTATTAAGAATTATATGTAGAACGCAAATATAGAGAGAATATTTTTATTTAATATACATATTAAAATTTTTAACATCTACGCAAAAATAGTTATTTTTTTAATATTTTTAGAAAAGATTTTTACATAATCGGCTTTTTTATAAATTAAAAAACTTTCTATATTATTAAACTAAAACGCATTTTTATTAGATTCAAATCACTATCGCTGAAAATAAAGGATTTCTTTTACTATATGAATTTCGGAAAAGTTGTAGGTTATGTAAAAAATGATACCGATTTTAATATATGATCAATAGGTTTGTTAACAATAGGACATCCATACCCCAATAATCCTAGTATAAAATTCATGTTCGTAATATGAACATTGAATAAAATTTAACACGCACTAAATATAATATATGTCTGACATGCAATATAGTCGCGAAATAACGCGTCCTGCGCGTGATTTTGAAACAAAGGGTCAAAATTTTGAGTCTAATGTACGGTACACATATGAAATCCGTTAACACATATACAAAGTATATAGGCGTTATTTCGGGACGCATATGGTCGTTATTTTAAACCAAAATGTGATGTTTTAAAGAGTGCAATTTCGAAATAATGCTCATGGGTGCTTAGAATTGTTATATGAGTGCTACCAAGGGAAAACCTGTCATCAGACTTTCAATTATATTTTGTGTATATACTATGAAAAAATCTATTATTATAATATAGACAACTAACGCACCCCCCTAAGTGCACATCTTATGAAAAGCACGTCTTCTCTTGGGCCCAATTAATATTACGCCTATAAATGCATGTTTGACTAAATTTTTACCGTCGCATTGCATCTGACTGTAATTGAAAGTCTGATGACAGGTTTTCCCTTGCAGCACTACAATTTAGTATACTGTAATTTAGTAGCCCACATTTAAAATTTACTTGTATATATATATATATGCAGAAAATAAAGTTTATACGCACTGCCTAAACCTGACTTTTAGGCCAGCGTATCCGGAGGATATAATGAGGGGTAATAGGACAGATTTTTTGTATATTTATGTCCTAAAACTAATTTTTTAACTAGCCATTATAGTCGTTTTTTTTTCTTTTTTTGAAAATTGTACGCACATTTTAGGTTAAAGAAACTTGCAGTTAACAAATTCTTATTTTAATAATGATTTTAATCCCTTAAAAAACCAACTTTAAACCTATATGTACAATTTACATCGAAAAGTATATATATAAACATTTATCACAGATTATCTGAAAAGAAATTCATCTTTAGAACAATATTAAATTACTGAGCATTTTTAGTTTCATTAACTTCTATGTCTTCTTCGACATTAGCTTCTTCAAAACTAGCTTCTTCCATGAAATTCACATGTTTCTTTTCTCCTCCAGTGGACATAAATATAATTACAATCATCATAGCACATGCTGACATAACCGCTATAGTCAGTCCATAATTGGGTGTACCATTTTTAGGAAACGCTTCACCTAATACTGCTTCAACTTGAGCAGAAGAAGAAGCGATCAGGGTACCCAATTGATAAGTTAATCCTGGAAATGTTCCACGATAAGCTGGTGGTGATAACTCATTCAAATGGGCAGGTACAATACCAAAGGCACCCTAATTGATGAATTGTCTAAGAATTTAATTGAATTTTGTAAGATCAGAAATAAATTATTTACCTGAACAAAGAAATAAACAACGAATGCACCAAAAGTCACAAGCGATTTATTAATAGGAATGGCTATTAAAGGTAAAAAAGCACCAGCGAATATCATCGCCGTGATAACCATTTTCCTACGGCCCACATATTGAGACAAATATCCACATGTTGTGCCGCCTATAATAGAACCAATGTTGGCTATAATAGTTGTTATCGTGATTTCCTCTAAGAACAATGAAATGTACTAATTTTAGTGACACTCATTCAAAAGAATATTATACAAGTATATTGAGCGTATAATACCTGGAGAAAAGGAGAGTTGTGTTTTAAGAAACGTGGGGAAAAGATCCTGTGTGCCTATAGATGAAAAAATGTAAATGGCGTAAATTCACGTAAAAGTATAGTAGGATCAAGGGACCCACTAATAAAATTGATTAAAATTGATTATTAATCAATTGAATTTAGAGTAGGGTCCCTTATATTATATGTAATTATGAATAGTAATACCGTGGCTTGTGAAACCAAAACCAGCCATTAACAGGATTGTATGAATGATTTTCAGCCAATAATCTTTAACAATCTAAATGACATTTATTAGTGATACGTACTATAAATATATAAAACGATAAAAAATTAAAATAACAAACCTTTTTTACTTCATTGAGCATATTATGGTCGACTGACTTACGACGAGTTTCATGATTTTTTTCCCATGCTTTGGATTCAGGAACAAAAAATCGCATGAAAACGACAACAAGCGCAGGAAAAGAACCAATCCAGAACATTGCACGCCAACCAACAGTCCTAATTACAGCATAGTAAAATATTGCAGCAATTATGTAACCAGTTGGATAGCCTTGTTGTAAAATTCCAGAGAATAAACTAATAAAATGAAATTGACCATATAAAAAAAAAATACATATATATATAATTTAATAAAGATAAGACAATGAACAAGGAACTCAGTGATATTTACGTGACTATCACATCACATGATTAAGTGTTCGGCCTAAGTTAGGGTTAGTGTTAGGGTTAGGTGATAAGATAATTTAGGCTAATTTTTTAGTGCTAGTAAACAAATGACGTCATTGCATGATTTCACGTGTGATGTGATGATCACTGGCTCTATGTTCTTAAGTGTCCCAATTGCTTACCCACGAGATTCAGGTGGTAAAGCTTCCATCGCTAAGGCTGCGCCTAAGCCCCACTCACCACCCATCGCAATTCCAAAAATAGCTCTTAATGCTACAAAAACTTGGAAATTTGGAGCAAAACCGGAAGCTAATTCCACCACGCTATATAAGATGATGTCGGCCATTAACGGATATCTTCTGCCATATTTATCAGCCAGTATACCAAAAATTAATGCACCAATAGGACGTAGTAGTAATGTTACCGTAATACTTTTACGAATTTAAACGCGAACAATTAATAAATAAATCATGGAAGTAACTATATTACACTTTTGATAATTCATTAATGATGATATTTTTAAAGCTTAATTCATTCAACCTTAAAATATTTTATAATTATTAATATGATTAACTTTGAAAATTACCTTGTAGCAATATCAGATGGTTTCATTTTAAATTCATCAGCAATACTAATAATGGTAATAATAAGTAAAGTTTCAAGCAGAAGGTTGAAATGTAAAAGATAAATTTGACGCACTAAGGTAAAGCAAATGAGACGGTGAAGAAATCGAAGGCATCTAAAGTCCATCCAAGGAACGCTGCAGTGAAGGTCATTATTTGATACCTCTCTAACGATCTTATAAGTTTCCATGGACTGACGGGTTTATTAGCATTTGGATTAGCTACCACGTCGTCCACGACCACATTCTGGTTATCTGTCTCGTTAACTTTAGTATTAGCCATGGAAGTATTAGAGAAAGAAAATAAAAATTAATGAATAATTGTATTTATATCTTGCGATTCTGCATTCTTTTAATTATTCAAACACAACTCCGATATTTTTTTACAATAGCAATTTAAGCATAAATTAATTATAACCCACGCGAAAACATTATTATTTACTAACCCATAGTTCCTTCTTACGATCTCGTTCATTTATTTCATTTTTTTACGGAGTTTAAATATATAACGATAATACCAAAAATTTCAGACATCAATGATGCGAGTAACGGTAATGTGCATTTAAAATACTAATATAGGTCTTAAATGACATGACACACATCACTAATTAAAGTTCAAAATAACACAAGTGCGCCAGGATAGCCAATTTTTTCTCCCTAGCCTTTATAATCAAACCTTCTTTAATTATTAAAGTAAACTTTAACTGATAATGGATATTAAGATTGAAAGCATTTTCTTATTAGGAAATTGCCAACTATTTGCGATTGTAAGTGATTTTCAAAAATATCGGCCAATTATTGGTCAAATTACAATCAAATAAGTTAAAACGAGTATCATCATTTGGGGTCTTTGCATTAAAAAATGCCCTTATAAATCATATGATCAAAACTTGATCCCAAATTTCCATAATTTCAAAAAAATCGGTGTACACTATAATTTTAACTAAATTTCATTAAAAAAATGGCTCAAACAACCAAAGAAACAAATCTGTTCAATATATATATATCATTATCTTTGATAAAAATCTTCAATAAGGTGTGATTGAAATATCGGTAACTGGTAACATCATTATAGATTATGTAAGGTCTTTAAGCGATCCCCTGTGGATCCATTTTGCGGAGTACTATGGGTAAAGAATTAAGAAACTCGATTGTAAATGATTGTAATGTGAATTTTCCTGACTTCCCATATGGCTTAAAACCGATTTGGGTAATATTTTTTGATCCAAATTAAAGGGATGTTCTATAGAATAGGCGAGCAAACTCCGCCAAATATCACGTGAATATATAAAATAAAAATTCAGGGGGTTTCACAGACGAATAATCGCCATTTTCTCAGAATGGAAAACCCTCTTCAGAGCCGGACAAAAATAGTTAACCAGTGAAATTAGGCTGATGATTTTCTGTGATTCGCAGAAAACAACAGAAGCACAGTCAACTGCAGAATATCAGATTCTAAAAAAAGTGGATAATATCCAGAATCAGAATTTTGATCATTAGGACAGCACCGGAAAATTCCGGAAAGGTAGGCATAATTACGAGATGGCCGGAAAGTTTTAGAAGAAATTTTGGCTAATGACACCACAGAACTTTGTAAAGAAAATTATCGCAAATTCTGGATTTTGATTGGTTGCTATTTTTAATTTGTTTATCAGAAAATCTGTACCATACTGATTCGGTACTATATATTGTTAGGGTTAGTGTAAATAGCAGATTATATATATATATATAGTATGGTATTGTTTTTAAAATAGATATTTTACATAATTCAGGTCATCCATCCCATACTGATCTGTAATCTCGTCTTCGGACCTTTAATAATTTTCTATTTTCCTACCCCCTGTGCAGATCCATATTACGGAACTCTATTAAATAGGGAATTTGAATGGTAAACAAATTAGAAATTCGATTGTAATGAAAAGACATCCCATATGTGGAAATTATGACATATCTTTTTGAAACCTATTTCGGAATTGTTATAAATAGTTGAGAAAGTCATTGTATACAATAGGTTAAAAAAAACAATCCGGTACCAATTATTTTCTTGATATGAACTAAGATTAGCCTAATTTAGAGTTAGAATTGGCTACGTACGTAGAAAAACTAGGGGCTTGTCCAAACTCAGTTCGGCCCTGTTTGAAACCCAAACCTGTTAAACTCGAGTTTTGTGATCATGTGATTTTAATTAGTGCTCAAATCGAGTTCGAAATCGATTTCTCAAGCAAAATGTTTCATGATTTATAACAAGTTGTACTCATAAAAGAGCAGTGAGTTTTTTAAAAGTTTATTGGAGGGTGTAATGTTACGAAAACGGAAGTAGAAGAATGATGTTAACTGGCCAAATTTAGAAAGGTTAGTTATCCGGCAAACTCATATGATCATGGCCCAAAAATGCCTGGATATTTTTTAAGCAATTATGACATAATGCCGAATATCCAATTTTTGGGCAAATATCATGATCGACGCAATCAATAATTTTAACGAAAATTTACTCAAATTGGGCCAGAACAAATTATTTAAAAAGTACTCAAATTACAACGTTGTATTATTAATGCATTAATTCTATGAATACTGTCGTTTTTTTTCAATTATAGTCAATTAAAAATGAAAACTGCAATTATTAAAAGTATTTCCTATAAGAAATTTCTCAATAAAATCTTTATTTTGAGGATTTCGATTTTCTTTAGAGTTATTACACTCTTGACTTTTTTGGGTACTTTCTTGATGACCATTTTGTTCACGTTCAACCAAGGCTTCTCGTGAAGGATTATAAGTAGTATACGGAGATCTTTCACTAGCTTGTGGCGATCCTTCATTTTCATTCAATTCATCGTTTACATCAAATTCAAGACTTTCCATGCCATTTGCAAGTGATGTAAGTGAACTGGTCCGTTTAAAGTAAGAACTTGCCATTACAAAATCACCACTTAGACTGAGAGATTCTTTTACTATATAATCCGTTACTTGTTTTTCAGTTATCAATTAATAAAAAAAAAAAAAATCAAATTAAAATTAGCAATTAAATAAATATCTTTGGTTGATGTTTTTTTATTCTTTATAAGAGCATCAAAAAATCCACCAAGGCCTTCGTGCTGCATAATTGATTTTGGTCGTTCATACGCAGATAAGCCTTTTTGTGATTTATGTCTCATGATTGACATAACCATGGAATCCGAACATCCAAGCCTCTTTAATACCTGAACCGCAGTTTTTCTTCCCGAATGGTTGGATATACTACGACTGCCAATTTCAATATCAGTGGCTTCACATATTACCCGAAAATAGTCCCTTAACGTTCTTTCACCAAGCGCACGTCCATAAAACCATTGACCATTAAATTCACCTTTTAAAAATAGTTAGTATTAAATACTGAATAGATAAATTCTAATTATAAAATAAATATTTACCA